GAACGTAGATGCTCCATTGTTTGGGGCATATATATTTATAATCCTTAAGTCTTGTTGGTGTATAGTTCCCTTAAGCAGTATGTAGTGTCCTTCTTTATCTTTTTTGATTGACTTTAGTTTGAAGTCTAGTTTATTTGATATGAGGATGGAAACGCCTGCTTGTTTCTGCAGTCCATGTGAGTGGTATGATTTTTCCCAACCCTTCACCTTCAGTCTATGGATGTCTTTTCCTATGAGATGAGTCTCTTGGAGGCAGCATCTTGTTGGGTCTTTTTCTTTTTTTTTCTTTTTTACCCAATCTGCTAGTCTCTGTCTTTTGATTGGTGAGTTTAGGTCATTAATATTGATGGTTATTATTGAGACATGATTTGTATTCCCAGCCATTTTTGTTATTTAACGTGACTTGGTTTCTCCTATGATTAGACTTTCCTTTAGTGTAACACCTCCTTCTATTGATTTTCATCATTGTTTTTCATTTCCTCTTCTTAGAATATTTTTCTGAGGATGTTCTGTAGTGCAGGATTTCTAGTTGTAAATTCATTTAACTTTTGTTTATCATGGAAGGTTTTTATTTTGTCATTAAATCTAAAGCTTAGTTTTGCTGTATATAAGATTCTTGGTTGGCACCCATTTTCTTTCAGAGCTTGGTGTATGTTGTTCCATGATTTCCTTGTTATGAGGATATGGGTTGAAAAATCTGCTGAGATATGAATTGGTCTCCCCCATATTTGATCTAATGCCTCTCTCTCTTACGACTTTTAAGATTCTCTCCTTATTCTGTATGCTAGGCATTTTTATTATAATGAGCCTTGGTGTAGATCTGTTATAATTTTGTACATTTGGTGTCCTGTAAGCCTCTTGTATTTGGTTTTCCAATTCATTCTTCATGCTTGGGAAATTTTCTGATATTATCTCATTGATGAGATTGTGCATTCCTTTGGTTTGACACTCTGTGCCTTCCTCTATCCTAATAACTCTTAGATTTGGTCTTTTGATGCTGTCCCATAGTTCTTGGATGTTTGGTTCATGGTTTCTTACTATCTTCACTGTGTGATCAGTTTTATTTTCCAGATTGTATACTTTGTCTTCATTATCTGACGTTCTTTCTTCCAAGTTATCTAGTCTGTTGGTTATGCTTTCTATTGAGTTTTTTTGATTTATTGTATCTTTCAATTCAAGGATTTCTGACTTTTTTTTTCAGAGTCTCTATCTCTCTTTTGAAGTAATCTTTTGCTACTGTATTTGCTGTCTTATCTCATTGTTGGAGTGATCAATTTTTGCCTGTATTTGCTCATTTAGGTCATTCTTTAATTCACAGATCATTTTAATTATGAACCTTCTGAACTCCTTCTCTGATGTTTCATTAACTTTGCTCTCCATGGATTGTTATTATAGTGTCCTGGTTTGTTTGGGGCACTTTCCTTCCTTGTTTTTTCATGTTGTCTATGTGTCTTCCTTTCTTACAATGTGGACCTGAGATATTACAGTTTCTTCCCTATATTTTAGTAGTACCTATGCAGATTGTCTGTACCTCACCTTGATGTTGGGCTTCCAAACCCTGCTGGTGTCCCTCACTGTATGCTACCGTATCCTGGACCTGGGTCCTGTGCAAGTCAGCATGGGTAGATCTGGGCTGTCGGGCTTGACCTCCCCCTGTAGTCTGCTGGTTGGAAGGGGTGGTCCTGCACCAGAAGCTAGGCTCTGGCAGGTGTCTGCCCCGCAGGGGGAGGGGTGGACTGGGCCTACTGTGAGCCTGGACCTCTGGTCTTGACCTCCCACAGTAGTCTCAGCTTCCTACAAACTTTAAATCATCTCTAGTTTGCTTAAGATATCTAATTTAATGTAAAATCTATGTAAAGAGTTGTTATACTGTATTGTTTAGGAAATGATGACAGGAAAAATGTCTGTCCATGTTCATTACAGAAACAATATTTTTTCCAAAGGTTTCTGATCCATAGTTGGTTGAATCCACAAATGTAAAACCTGTAGTTATGGAGGACCAGCTATGGTCACATAAACCTTGTTGTTCTATATCTATCCTTGTTTTTTTTTTTCATTTTGGCCTATTTATTATTTGTGTTAACAACATGTTTGGTGAATTTCCAAAAACTACCACAAATGTTTCCTGAAGAATAGCAAGGTGTATTAGTTCATTTTCTGTTGTTAACAACCCAATGTAACATATTCCTTAAATTATAAATAAAAAAGAGGTTAATTTTGGCTTATGGTTCTGTTCCAAAGGTGAGGCCCCACCTCTGGTGTTAGAGTCTCAAGATGGTACAGGGCATCACATGGCTGGAGACAGGGTATGTGTATGTGTCTGCCTGTCTTTTCTGGTTTCTCTTATTATAAAACCACCACTATTCAATTATGGGGACTCCTCTGTGATGGCCTTATCGAATCCTAATGATTATTTCCTAAAGGCTTCCCCTCTAAGTATCTATAGTTGAATTACGTTTCTACCATCTTAATACCTCACAATGAGGATTACATTTCCACACATGAACCTTTGGAGGACACACTCAAACCATATCCAAATCATAGCAGAAGTTATAAAGAATTACAGATGGTTGTTTATTCGAGGTGTTTTCTATTGTGACTCTCATTGAGTCAAGTTCACATGGTTCTTATTAGTTTTCTGAGGCTACTGTAACAAAATACCATGAACTTGGCGACAATACAACAGAAATTTATTCCTCACATTTCTGGAGGTTCTAAGTTCAAATATAACATAACTGGTCCAAAGTCAAGATGTTGGCAGGACTGTGCTCCCTCCAGACTCCAGGGGAGAATTCTTTCTTTGACTCTTCCAGCTTCTGGTGGCCTCTGGAATTCACTGGCTTGTGGCTACATCACTTCAGTATTCAAATTCAGCATCTTCAAACCTTGCTTGGCTCTTCTTCTCATTGCTTGTTCCTCTGTGTGTGTTAGATCTCCTATTGCTTTCCTTTTATAAGGTTACGTGTGATTGCATCTAGGACCCACCTGATAATCTAAGACACTCTCTCCATCTCAAGATCCTTAATTCAACTACATATTTAAAGACCCTTTTACAATATAGTATAAAGTTTGAAGATTCCAGGGATCAGGACTTGATATCTGTAGGAAACATTTTTTGGCCTGTCATGGAGTTAGAAGTAGCAAGTCTATGAAATTGTCCAAAGATTGTTACTGACCAAGAGGAAAGTTGGGCTATTATAGGTGGAAAAACTATGTAATAGAATAAAATTTAGCTTTCTGTGGACGTTGACTACACCAGACCTTGGCTCACCCACTTGTACCTCCAAGTCATATTTCTTTAAGAATACTTACTATAGTCAGAAATTGCTTTATACTTAGATATTGCCTTATTTATTTCTGTTTTCAGTCATCTATGGTTTTCATTGGTGGGCTAGGGATCATGAGTTGGTACTATAGTTTGGATCTGGAATGTCTGCCAAGGGGATAATGTGACTCCAGTTCCTTCCACTTCCTTTTCCCCATCCAAGCTATCAGGTGAATTGGCTCTTTGTGTTAAAGGATTAGTCCCCAGCTAGATGCTGTTGGGAAGTTGTGGGACCTCGATGAGGTGAGGCCTAGTGGGAGCTCTTAGGTCATTGAGAGTGTGCCTGTTAGGGTTTGTATATGAGGTATCTCCATTTGGTGGATTAACACTTTGGAAGAACTACTGTACTGGGCAGTAATAGGCAGGTAGGGTGTGGGAGGAGAAAGCAGGTCACCAGGGGCATGCCTTTGGGGTTTACATTTTGTCCCTGGTGAGCAGAACTCTCTCTCTCCCACTGCTTCCTAGCTGTCATGAGCTGCATAGCTTTCCTCTGCCATGATGTTCTCTCTCACCTCAAGCCCAGAGCAATGGAGCTGACTGACTTTGGACTGAACCTTTGAAATGTGAGCCCTAAATAAACTTTTCCTTCTCTCAGTTGTTCTTGTTAGGTATTTTGGTCATAATGACGAAAAGTTGATTAACACAATTCTCTTGAAGGGGATAATGTGACCCCAGTTCCTTCCACTTCCTTTTTCCCATCCAAGCTATGAGGTGAATTGGCTCTTTGTGCCTCCACATGCTCCCTGCATGCTGTGCTGCCTTGCCATAGGCCCAAAGCAATGGGGCCAATCAGTCATGGGCTGAAACCTCTAAAACTGTGAATGAAAATAAAACTTTCTCTTTATAAGTTGATAATGAAATCAATTCAATAGGCCAAGATCAGAATTAAAAGATAGTATAGTAGGAATATCAGAGAGTGTTGCATGTAGTGTGGATAATTATTGTTTCATGAAACAATATGCATGTGTGCATTGAATCATGGTGTAAATATACTTCTTACTCTTGGTTGTGGTGAAGTGGAAAGCATCTGCTATATGTGATTTCATTATTCATCATTCTCTGTGGAAAATGTTCCTTGCTATTAGGCAGAGCAAGAATTACAGCTCACATCCACTTCAGGTTCTTATTATGTGGTATAATACTGGTGAAGGTGGATGGTTATTGCTTTAAGTAAATCAATTTATAGATCTTCTGTTTCTATAAGTACTTAGCATTATACAGGTTCTTTCCACTTTTGAATTTACTATAGTTCTCTCACTTTACAAAAGAAAGGTACATCTCTCACCCAGTGTATGAAACCCTCCAGATGACAAATAAAAGGGCAGTTCAAACTGTTTTGGAGGAAGTTCCCATGAATGATCAGTCAAGGCAACTGAAAACCCTTGTTAAGCTTCCTCTCTCTTCCCGACTCACGTGTTAAGGGTGAAGTGTGGCTGTCAGAGGTATGGTAATTGGATATTTGTTGTGATTTTCTGAAATCAGATATACTGTGTGTTAGTAATGGGATTTTTTTCCTTTAATCACCACCTCTTTTCCATTTTCTGTGAAGCAATGCACAGTTATTTAAGAAGAATCTGATGAGAACAAAGGAAAGACAGCATGGAATAAAGTATTGAACTGCCAGGGATTTTTCCCCCAGAAATTTAAATATAAACAGTTCTTTCCATCCATTCTCAGTATTTATCCACAGGATGTGTCATTATCTGGAAATAAAAGCAGAGCTTTGGACAGCTGAAGTAGAGGAGGTTAGTGACACTGTTAATTATAGATGTAATATGGATTATTTTTAGGAACCTTCCTAGCATTACACTAGAATTACCTGCAAAAACAATCATACATAATTTTATTTAAATTTGCTGTGTTGTCCAATAAAGATCAAAATGTATAGTGATAATCACTGAAACAGTGAAGTATTTCCCATTTCCCTCCCTGATGGTGGGATTGGGCAAGGCCATGTGACTCTTTCTGGCTGACAGTTATGAGCAGAAGCAAAGTGTCACCTTCTGGCTAGTGCAGTTATGCCCTTAGTAAACTCCAGTGTTCTCTTTCCTCTCTGAAGATGAGAGTTACTGCTCTGTCAGCGGGAGCTCCAGAGAGATTATGAGAGTCTGCTCCTTTTCTTCCAGCCATGATGGAAATATAGCTTAGGTTAAAAATGAGCTTTGCTCTTTTTTAAAAAAATATTTACTTTTTAGTTTTAGTTGGACACAATACCTTTATTTTAAGGTGGTGCTGAGGATCGAACCCAGGGTCTCACATGTGCTAGGTGAGCTTCTACCACTGAGCCACAACCCCAGCCCCAAGCCTTTGCTCTTTTAAGTCATGCACCTTTGTTGTTGGTCATTGCCTCATGTCCTAGCCTATCTGGGATGGCACACTTAGACTAGATTCTATTTTGAAATACATAAATTCTTCAATTCTGACCTATTTCATCTTTTTTTTTAATATTTTTATTTTTTTTTTAGTTTTCGGCGGACACAACATCTTTGTTTGTATGTGGTGCTGAGGATCGAACCCAGGCCGCACGCATGCCAGGTGAGTGCGCTACCTCGAGCCACATCCCCAGCCCCCTATTTCATCTTTTAATAAGTATGATATTGTCTCTTATCAACAAAAATAAAATTATGCTTTAGTTGCTGGATTGATTATTTTTTTAATGACACTTTATTTTTCTTTTCCTTTAAATATATAGTGTATATATGTATGTATATATATATATATATATATATATATATATATATATATATATATATATATATATAAATATTTGGTACTGGGGATTGAACTCAGGGGCACTCAACCACTGAGCCACAACCCCAGCCCTATTTTATATTTTATTTAGAGGCAGGGTCTTTCTGAGTTGTTTAGGTCTTCACCAAGTTGTTGAGCCTGGCTTTGAACTTGAGATCCCTCTGCCTCAGCCTCCTGAGGCGCTGAGATTACAGGTGTGTGCCACTGCACCTGGCTTATAGGAAATGGTTTGAATGATGATTTTCAAACAATTGATTAGAGTTACTCTGGAATTTTTATATACAATTCTTCTTTACCTGTTCCTAAAAGCTGAAAACCAAAGTTTTCACATAGACACACTTACTGAAGAAATACTGTCTAATTTATAGGCTAATTCATAAATAATGTTTATCTTAATGATACATTATATTTTATTATTATGGTTTAAGTAATGAAAAAGCCAAAACGTTTATTCTTGATTTTAGGACAAAAAACCCAAACATTTTATTAGTGTTTTTTTGTTGTTGTTGTTGCTGTGCTGGGCATTGAACCCAGGCCTCTGGCATGCTAAGTAAGCACTCTACCACTGATCTATATCCCCACCCTTATTCTATTTGTTTTGATATCATTTTAAATGTTACTGCTTTTTAATAATTATGCTTATAAGATACATTTGATAATTTGTTTCCCAGTTTATAAAAACCTCAAAATACATATTCTAATACATTATTTGAATTGAAAATGGAGTTTTCAATTCATTTTGAAATGTGAATCTGACCTAGATGATTGGTTTGACAATCAAGATTGACTTTAGATCATGTGATTAGTAGGATATTTTCTATAAACTGCATAAGCCATATCTATAGCAACTCCACAGTTTGGTGTGTATGTATGTACATATGTAATATGTAAATATATTCCATGATAATGTTAAAGGATTTTATAAAAAGTATTTTGTAGTAGGCTCTCATTGTAGAGCAGTGGTAGAGTGCTTGCCTAGCATGTGTGGGGCCCTGGGTTTGAGCCCAAGTACTACAAAAAAATTTTTTTTTGTATCAAAATTAACAATATTTCCATTTGCTAACTCTTCAAGAGTTATTTCAGCTAAAACAAGACACTTTTTCATGAAAACAAAACAAATATAGATCTGGCAAATCTTTGGCATTGCTTTGACTCTCCCAGACATTGTGAAAGTAAATGACTATGATGACTGGACTCTTAAAAATCAGATGAAAAACAATTTTTCGTTTTCAGAAAAATTGAAGAAGACACAAGTTAACCTGTCAACTGACAGATCATTATACATATTTTTTGTAATAGATTTCTATATATATTTTTTGCATGTAACTCAGAGGAAATTCAAAGAATTGGGTGATATTATCATATTCTACAGCATGGGTAACCTGATGTTCAGAAGTTTGGTTTTGATATGTTTGGCCATGGTTTTGTTTGCATGGTTCTTTTTGGGATTCTCTGGATTTATTTAATCTGTAAATTTATGTAGTTCATCAAATTAGAGACATTTTGGCTATTATTTCTCCAGTGTTCTTTTTGCACCAATACTTCTGTCCTAGGACTATAATGAAATGAACACTAGATCATTTGATAGTATTCTATTCTTTTTTCTTTTTTCTCTGTTCTGATTGGAACAGAGACATCTGATTGGATGTTGATTAATCTATCTTTAAATTCATATTGACTCATTTGTCATTATCTCCATTTTGGTACTGAGCCCACCCAGTGACTTTTTCAGATGTAATTTTTAGTTCTAAAATTTATATTTGAGGGGCTGGGGTTGTGGCTCAGAGGTAGAGTGCTTGCCTACCATGCATGAGACACTGGGTTTGATCCTCAGCACCACATAAAAATAAAAAATAAAGATATTGTGTCCACCTTTAACTGAAACATAGATGCTACAAAAAGAAAAAATTACATTTGAGTTTTGTTATTATTCTGCTGATAATGTCTGTATTTCTACCCATTTGGGAAGTGTTTACCTTCCTCATGAAATATGAACATAATAGCTGCTTTAAAGTCTTTGTCTTTTCCAACATCTGGGTCATCTTGAGGTTGTGCTGTCTTTATTTCCTTTTCCCTTGAGAATTGTTTGGTTTCTTGGTTCTTTGTGTGTTGAGTAATTGTGGATGGTATTCTGGACAATTTTGATATTAAAAGCTGTCTCAAGGCTGTTAGACTTCTCTGGAGAATGATGATTTTTATTAGTGTATTTTAGCAGGCAATCAGCTTGGCTAGATTCAGATAGTTCTTGTACATAAATCTAAATACAAGTTCTAAGACTAAAAAAATCTGTTAGAAAACATATAAGAACATTGGAAAAGGCACAATTTTCTTGGATGAGACATGAAAAAACATCAAACATAAGGAAAAAATTGGTAATTTATACTTTATCAAAATTTAAAAATTTTTGATCTTTGAAATACACTTTTTTTTGAAATACACTTGAAAAAATGAAAAGATTGGCCACAACTGGGAGAAAATATTTGCAACACATATGTTTAATAAAGGACTTAGAGCCAGAATATACAAAGAACTCTTACAACTCAAGAAGACAAGCAACCCAATTAGAATGGAGGCAAGAAATGTGAAGAGACACCTGACTAAAGAAAATAGACAGTAAATCAGCACATGAAAAGATGCTTACTGTCATAGACTATCAAGGAAATGCAAGTTAAAGCCAATGTACTGAGTAGACTGGCTAAAATTAAAACAGTAAAAATGCTAGAATGGATGTCCATGGAGCTAATGGGATTAGAAAATTATACAACCACTTTGGAAAACAATTTGCAGGTTATGATAAAGTTAAACATACTTACCAAGAGGCCCAATAATTTCACTACCCTTAATAGAAATGAAAAAAAAATGTTTATAGAAAGATGTATTATTCAAATGTTTATAGCATTTTTACTTATAGTACAAGTCTAAACTGAGAAACATCTGAAATGCCTATCAACCGATTAAAAACATAAGCAAATTGTGGCACCTATATACAATGAAATACTACTAAGTAATAAAAGGTAATAAAATACTGGTGCATACAACTACATTGGTAAGCTTCAAAAGCATCTGGGAAGTGTTTACCTTAAGTGAAAGAAGCCAGGCACAAATGGGTACATGCCGAATGAGTCCATTTATATGACATTCTGGAAAAGGTATACCACAGTGACTGAAAACTATAGGTACAGATCAGTATTTGCCAATGGCTTGTGTTGGGGAGGGGATTGACCACAGAGAGCCATGAGAGAACTTTTTTAGGTAATTGAAATGTTTTTCAATTTTATTAGTGTTCACACAACTGTACATATTTGTCAAAACTCATCAAACTGCATACCTAAAAAGACTGTATTTTATGGTATGTAAATTACACCTAAATAAACCAGAATTTTAAAATAAGAGGTGTTCTTTTATAGCTTTTTGAATGAATGCTTCCTTATTTCTTTTTAAAATTTAGATTGTGCTCTGTAAAAAATGGTACAGATCTAGCTAAAGCTTTATCCTTCTACTGTCCCTCTCATTTTCCCCTTCCCAGAGATAACAGTTGTTTTGTAGCTGGTGTGTATAACTCATATGTGTCTATTTTCACTTATAGGACATATCTACACATCCATAAATAGTACACAAACAACTATTTTTTATTTAAAAATTACATTGATGGTTTTATTCTGTGTCTTTTGCAACTTGCTTTAATCACTTGAAATTGTGTTTTTAAGATTCATCCATGTTAATATATACAGATACAGTTCATCCATTTTAATTTATGTAGAGTATTCCTCTATATGAATAAATTATGGTTATTCAACCATTTTTACACTAAGGGGACAGTTGTCTCCTTTTTTTTTTTTTTGGCCTTTCGTTTTCAGAAACAATGATTTAATGAACAAACCTTTGCAAATTGCCTGTCGGAGTCTCTTTGGGTGAGGCACCTAACCATGTTACTGCTAGTTTAAAGGGCATGACTTTCAATTAGGCATCTCTAACCACCTCAAAACTGGACCAATTTATATCCCATGAGCAATGTATAAATATTCCTGTTTCTCCACACCTAATATTTCATATGTTCATATTTATCAAGCTTGGGGAGAAATAACACCTAAAATGCCTATTCTGGGTGATTCTTAAAATTGTGCATCACTTACCTCATTATCTTCCTCTTCCTTTTTCTAATCCCTGGCTTCTGCTGCTTCTCTGTTATCCATCCCAGTAAGTGACACCACTATTATTCTAGATGCTTAAGTCAGAAATCTGGGTACCACCCCTGAATTCTCTTCCCCTTTCCCCCACATCCATCCTCCAAATCTTTGTCATCCTTATTTCTCACCCATAATATTATAGGATCTCCACCCTGGTCTCCTCCCTAAGTGTACCCCCTTCCAATTGATTCTCCTCAGTGTAGCAATGATTATCTCCCTGAAATACAAATCTGATTTTCTCACCCCTACTCTAATATTCCCAGTTGTTTCCCGCCACCCACACTGTTTACAAGTCTCTCACAAGCTGACCTCTATGTTGACAGCCTCATATTTCTCCACTCCTTCATCAAAATCCTCACTCCAGTTTTAGTGAGCCACTTTCAGTTTCAGGATGTATCTGTGCCTAGAACACTTGTTTTCTTTTCTCCTTTGGCTAATCCCTTTGTTCTCAAACTATTTTTTTTTCTTTGAGAGGCCTTGTCTTTTTTTACTTGTTCTTTTTAGTTATACATGATCACAGAATATATTTTGACATATCATACATACATGGAGTATAACTTCCCATTTATGTGGCTGTACCTGATTATGGAGTTACAC